CTACTACTACTACTACTACTACTACTACTACTACTACTACTACTACTCAGTTTCTTTAAGGTTTGCTCCATCTATCTGTATCATCCTATCCTAATCCTCACTGCAGTTGTTTATCCTTGTTCCTCAAGGTCTGTAACTAGTACACAGTCTTTCTTTCTACCCTGACCTTGTCAACATGTTGAAGGATTTCAGTATTCAAACTGACATCCCCTCAGACACATTGGACTCCCAGTTCATCAACCTCTCCAACTCTCATGATCTATATATTCATTCCACTTCAATCCAAAAAGATGGTCACATTTTTTCTCACCATCACCTATAACTATCTCAAATCATAATCCCTATCCTCCTATGTAAATCATCATTTTCATTTCATTTGTTCTGTCTTTAATAAAGTAAAGTCAATAAACATCACTATGTCCCAGGCATTGTAGTTAGCATGGAGAATACATGCACAATTATATATGGGAAAAACTGAGAATTCAAAGGAAATTGATGATTATTGACAAAAAATATATAAAATAACCAACCTAATGAAGCAAGAATTAGAGATCTTAAACTACTCAATCTCAAAAAAAGCAACATAGCAGGCTAAATGTGAGTTGCCAAAAGGAAAAAACCACAGGCCAGATGGATTTATATGTGAATTCTAACATTTAAAGAGTAATTAATACATAATATTGCAAAAACTATTCTCAAAAAGAGAAAGAATGTACTGTCCAAAATCAGGTGACTGACAAGCAGCTGAAACAGCTTCACAAAATGGTGGATAAAGGCAAAATGGAGTCACTAATGCTGTTTTTTTCATGTAAAAGAAAGCAGGATGATGGGAGAAGTAGGGCTAGAGAACATGCTGTTTGAGGATGATTTGAAGGAAATGCGCGTGGTTAGCCTGGAGAAGAGAAGACTTGGGGAAGTCAGGGAGACATTATGGTTTTTTTCTGGTGTTTTGAAGGGTGATCATGTGAGATAAATATTATCCTAATACTCAAACCATGACTTCTCTACAAAGAACCGTTTGTCCTAGTCAGGTAGGAATGGAGAGCCCCTCCACAAATTCAGCACATCTCTCTCCCCACATCATTTGCACCTGCCTCTCTGGGCCTGTGTTGTATATCACTGTGACCTCAGCTTTAAATGTTTTTATTATCAGTTTTCACTGGCCGCCTGGCCCAACTCTGAACATGCGGACCCAGTCTTTGTTGTTCCATCATGTCCTTCCTGCATGAGAGTCATGTTCTCAGAAGTTGGGCTGAAACTCAGCTTGATAAGAACCACTCAGATAAGAGATGGACAGACAGAGGCAGGAAGATTGGCATCTCCCTACACAAATAAAATTAAATTAATTCTTTATGGTTTCTTGATTTAGGGTTAGCAAACAGGTCGATTCCAGCATGGATCTCCAGACCATCCATCTCCCTTCTATTAGAGGCCTGAGCAATCTCAAATCAAAGAAGAAAATGGATCTCACTGTCTTATCCAAGAAGAGTTCTATTGTAAATGTGATGTATAGCTCTAAGGTAATTCCCTCATATCTGAGAATCTCACAGGTTTGGGAATCACTTGTGTTTCTATATCATTCTGTGGTCATGAATTGTTTTACACCCATTTTCTTACCTGATCTTCAGAACAGCCATAAAAGGTAAACTGATTCAGGAAAGTCAAGTGCAGGAGATACTGGGAAAAGATGCTGAATTTGAAGTCATATAGTCTGTTTACTTGCTTGGTGCCTTTGGACAGGTTGCTTCTAGATTTCTTCATCTGTAAAATGGACATGATAAGGCAGGCAGTTTGTAAATTCAGAGGTGCCATATACAATATGAATGAGCTATTCTTATCACCATAGCTATCATGGTCATGGCTTTTACCAAGCAGAGGAGAGAGTTGAAAGGGCTAGAAGTAGTAAGAGGAAAGTGTCATTCTCGTTGTGCTTTCCCAAGAAGAGCTGGCATCTCTTGGGGACTTTTTGTACAATACCTCATTATATCCTCACAACAATCTCAGGAGAAAAATGTACAGGTCTTTTATCCCCATTTTATAGTTTATAGAAGAGGAAGCTCAGAGAGGGTGGACGAATTGACTGTAGTCACACAGCAAACAAGAAATAAAGCCAGCACTCAAACTCTTTGAACCCAGACTTTGTGCTTTTTCTACTACTCATGGAGGTGAAACTTGGGCTTTTATAAGCATATAGAAATATTTATTTGTGAGAGATAGGAATTGCAGTTATCTTTGCACTTTGGAATACCTAGAAAGACTGTGATACATCTTACAAGGAAGATTAATCTGATTTGTGAGCAGTGGAGACAGAGAGAGAGAGTATAGGAAGAGTCATATTTCTCTCTTTTATCTTTTTGGAGATTATTTTTCTAGTGAGAAGATCTCAGTTGGTAAGTTCAGTCTACTTTTTTTTTCATGAAGTAGAGGTTGAACAATGCCTGTTCTAGGATGGAGTAGAAGAAATCCTTGGTAAGTGGGCTATGGATCTAAGGTCTCTTTCAGCCCTCTGTCCAATTTATCCTGTATATTGCTCATTTAGACATAGTTGCATGTTGTCTCCACCATTAGACAGTCCTTGAGAGCAGAGACCGTCTTTTGCCTTTATTTGCATCCCCAGCACTGTGCCTGGTACATAGTTTAGCAAAGTTTACTTAGTGACTGATTGAAGAGTTGTATGACCTTGAGTAAGTCATAGCCTCTGAGCCTCAATTTTCCCATCTATAAAATGGGAACAATAATAGCTACCCTACTTACCCTACAGAAGTATTGTGATGTTCACAGAGGCAAAATGTAAAGTGCTTTACAAACCTTGTTTTGGCAAACCTTTAAAGCACTATATAAATAGGAGCTGTCATTTTTTGAAATACCTTGTGTCAGAATGAACAGAATGCTTGTGTTGTGACATATCTGTTTACTTTGCTGAAGCTTATTGTCCAAGGTCGTCATTTATACAACATGTGTTGTCTTTCTATCACTAAGCTGCTGTTGAGCCATAAAGTGCAAATGATTTGGAGTTGCTTTACCTACTTAGATCTGTAACCATTGTAATTCCTAGTCTTTCCTCTGTCTTGTAGTTCAAGCTTCAGTGGCAGAAATTCTACGCTATGTTTATTAAGAAAATGTTATTCACTTGGCGCAACTGGAAGATGATGATAGCACAATCAGTTATTCCTCTGCTTTGTATCATATTCATTATTGAAATCTTTAAAATGGATACAGAGTCAACAACAATCCCCATGTTACGTCTGACTTTGAACCGGTATGGCCGTACAACTGTGCCTTTCTTCATCTCCAAGACATCTAGGCTGCATCCAAACCTCTCAGATCACATTTCAAACACTATTCAAGCTGAGGGACATGTGCCACTGGAAGTTATGGGTAAGGATCACATGAAAAGGGACTGGTGGTATGTGAATACTTATGGCATCACAGGTTTTAGAGCTGCAAGGGGCCTTAAAGATGAACAATTCCCTCATTTTGCAAATGAGAAGACCATGGCTTAAACAGGTAAAGGGCATTGCCTGTAATCATGCTAGGATTACATTGTAAAGCTGGGATTAGCACCAGGCTTTCCTGGCTCCAGATCCAATGCCCCTTCTACTCCATCACACTGTTGCCTGAACATTATTTTCAAAGAAATAAAACATTATATTCAAGGAAATAATGACCCTGGATAAGTCATTTAATCTTTCAGCATCCCTAAGCAATTCTCTGAGGCTTGACTAATTTCCAAGACTCTCTAATTACCAAACAGATGTCAGTCTGTGTTGAGAGAGGAAGTTTCCTATACACATGAAATCACAGGTCTTCTGGATCCCCCCAAAAAAAGTTATAATAACAGCTATTACACTGTATAAAGTCAGGCACAGAAACATTTTTCAGAATAATAAACTCTAGGAAAGCAAAGTTGACAGCCAAGAGCATTTGAATGTTTTATCTGTGTATCCTAGTCCGAGGGTTTAGGGACTTACTGGAGGTAGGAGGAGTGATATGACTCTCCTGTCCATTTTTGCTGCAATTTATCAACAAATGCTTACTAACTAGACAGTTTTGTGTTAAGTCATTGACAATACCAGAGAAATTTAAGATGTCCCAGACACAGAATGTACGTATCTGAAGCCAAATTTATTAAAGGATCTTACAATCATGGATGACTGGGCCAGAGGTGGTAAGTGAGGCTAATAATATGATTAATGGTTCTCTTAGTGATTCTCTTTATTTTTATTTTTTATTTTTATTAATTTATTTACTTTTAGCTTTCAACACTCACTTCTACAAGATTTTGAGTTCCAAATTTTCTCCCCATATTGTCCCTCCACGCACCCCAAGATGGCATGCATTCTGAATGCCCCTTCCCCTACTCTGCTTTCCCTTCTATCTCTTCCCCCCTTCTCTTATCCCCTTCCCCTTCAATTTTCCTGTAGGGCAGGGTAGATTTCTATACCCCATTGCCTGTATATCTTATTTCCCAGTTGCATGTGAAAACAATTTTTTTAATATTTGTTTTTAAAACTTTAGGTTCCAAATTTTCTTCCTTCCTCCTTCCCCACCCACCCTCATTGAGAAGGCAAGCAACTCAATATAGGTTATACATGTGTAGTCATGTTGTGAAAAATTAAGTATATTTCCCTTCATCCTATCCCACCCTCCATTTATTCTATTCTCTCTTTTGACCCTGTCCCTCCTTAGAAGTGTTTGCTTCTGATTACCCCCTCCACCAATCTGCCTTCCCCTCTGTCATCCCCCTGCTCTCTTGTCCCCTTCCCCCCTATTTTCTTGTAGGGTAAGATAGATTTCCATACCCAGTTGAGTATGTATGTTATTCCTTCCTTAAGCCAAATCCAATGAGAACAAGATTCACTCATTCCTTCTCACCTTCCCCATTTCCCCTCCACTGTAAAAGCCTTTTCTTGTCTGTTTTATGTGAGATAATTTACCCCATTCTACCTCTCCCTTTCTCCTTCTCCCAGTGTAGTCCTCTCTCACCTCTTTAATTTTATTCTCCAGATATCACCCCTTCATCTTCAACTTACTCTGTGCCCTCTATTTATCTATGTATGTATGTATGTATATATATATATATATATATATATACATATATACATATAATTTTTTCCCTCCAACTACCCTAATACTGAGAAAAGTCTCATGAGTTACAAACATCATCTTTCCATGCAGGAATGTAAACAGTTCAACTTCAATAAGTCCCTTATGATTTCTCGTTCCTGTTTACCTCTTCATGTTTCTCTTCAGTCTTGTATTTAAAAGTCAAATTTTCTATTTAACTCTGGTCTTTTCATCAAGAATACTTGAAAGTCCTCTATTTCACTGAATATCCATTTTTCCCCCTGAAGGATTATACTCAGTTTTGCTGGGCAGGTGATTCTTGGTTGTAATCCTATCTCCTTTGCCCTCCAGAATATTATATTCCAATCCCTGCGGTCCCTTAATGTAGAAGCTGCTAAATCTTGTGTTATCCTGATTGTGTTTCCACAATACTTGAATTGTTTCTTTCTGGCTGCTTGCAATATTTTCTCCTTGACCTGGTAACTCTGGGATTTGGCTACAATATTCCTAGGAGTTTTCCTTTGGGGATTTCTTTCAGGATGGCTTCGGTGGATTCTTTCAATTTCTATTTTGCCCTCTGGTTCTAAAATATCAGGGCAATTTTCCTTGATAATTTCTTGAAAGATGATGTCCAGGCACCTTTTTTGATCATGGCTTTCAGATAGTCCAACAATTTTTAAATTATCTCTCCTGGATCTATTTTCCAGGTCAGTTGTTTTTCCAATGAGATATTTCACATTGTTTTCTATTTTTTCATTCTTTTGGATTTGTTTTACAATGTCTTGATTTCTCATAAAGTCACTAGCTTCCCATTGCTCCATTCTAATTTTTAAGGAAGTATTTTCTTCAGTAAACTTTTGGACTTCCTTTTCCATTTGGCCAATTTTGCTTTTTAGGGCCAGAGTTCTCTCCGCTGTGCCACCTAGCTGCCCCGATTTGGGGCATTTCGAAAACGTTGTTTAGAAGGTTGGATTGGGAGAGGTCAAGTAGAAATGTTCAATTTTATCCACCATCTTGTCTCTACCCCAACTTTGATGATTCTTAAATTTTCTTTCCTTGGCCTATTTTCCAAAACTAATAGATACTTTGCATTTCCTTTTATTTTTTTAAAATCTTTTTACTTTGTCATAATATTTCTAGTTCTCTTTAAGGGCTCATTAAATTCTTTTTTGCTCCCTTCTGTTGTTTAGAGAGTCCATTACGTGAGTAAAATTTTCCTTCTGTTTCAAGCTATTTGTTCTCCTTCCAATTTTTTCTTTCAGAACTCTTATTTTAATTATAATTTCATTTCTTATCTCTTTCTTCATTTCTTATGGCTATTTTTATAGCCCTTGTGGCCAAACCATTTTCCCTGCTACTTTGCTTATAGTTCTTATGAAGTTATGTTCTTCTGGGTTTTCACTTCATGGGTTTCTCTTGACTCAATGTTTTTTTCCCAGTATACGGTATCTTCTCTTGCTTACTCAGAAGTCCAGCCTCAATTTCTGTTTTACATCTTTATGCAACAGCCAGACTCCATGCTGTCCCCCAGCACCTCCACCACCACATGCACACTCTTAGATATTATGATTGGGACCTGATTGTTCCTGACTAGAATTTCTTGGGCCTCTCTTAGCATGTCTGCACTCAGAATACTGGACAATTTGAGCCTCACCATCTAGCCCCTTGCTTTATTTTTTACAAAACTCAGAGTGCTATAGACTTGAGGGGCCTCTGGAGTATCTCTAGGCAGAGTGCTGCAGACTTCAGGCCCCCATCACTACCCCAGGACATTCCAGAGAGCAGTGTCAGTTGAATGATGAGGTCAGAAGTCAGACTACAGAGTTAAGAAGAGAATGACAGAAAAGGAAATGGAGGCACCTAATACATGTGATCTTTTCAAGGAGTTTAGCCATAAAAGGAAGGAGAATAGCTAGTGGGGATTCATGGATTGAGTGAGGGTTTTTTGAGGGTGGGGGAGAAATGGGTATGTTTGTAGGCAGCAGGGAAGCATCTACTAGACAGGGAGAAATTGAAAATACAAGTGAGAGTGGGGATGATGGAAGGGGCAATCTGCTGGAGAAAACAGGATGAAATGGGATCCTTTATACAGGTAGAGGGGTTTGCCTTGGAAAAAAGAAAGCCAACTTCTTCGTGTGAGTCAGGGGTGAAGGAGAAGTTAGTGGGGAAAGACATCTAAGTCATTTGAGATAAGGAGGAAAAAAGATGTGAGAGCTCTTGATACATGACCTCAGTGTCTTCAGTGAAGTATGAGGTAAGATCCTCAGTTGAGGAAGGAAGGAAGGTGCCATGGAACACTTGAAGAGGGGTGAAAAAGGTTTAGCATAGCTGCTATGGTGAGCAGGAAAGTGAATTGAGTAGGGAAGTATAAAAATTTTACTTTGTGCAATGGAGGCCCAGTTGAGGTCATGTAACAAAAATTTTGTGGTGGATTGTCGTTGAATAATCAACATTCTTTCATGACTTTGTCTAGCTCTGTTCAGCAATATGTGAAGAAGAAAGAAAGTGGCAAGACTAGGGTTTGGCAAGGCATGATCAGTGATAGGACAAGGGAAAAGGGACTCCTTGGTTTTCAGAATTTCTATTTTTATTTTTCTATTTCTATTTTTTCTATTTTTTGGTTTTCAGAATTTCTATTTTTATTTTTCTATTTCTATTTCTATTTTTTTCTGTTTTTTAAAGTTTATTTGGAACTTTTTGCCTTGTTGTTTATCTATTCTTTTGTTCTTATTGTTGCATGCCTAGACTCTTTCCTTCATTGGTCTATTCTCTTTTTTGTTAATGAATGGGTTTGCAGGTACAGATTTTTCCATAAGAATTGCTTTGGCTGCATTCTGCATGTTTTGGCATGTTGTCTCATTATGACCATTTTCTCTTCTCTTGTTTACTGATTTTAAGATTTGTTCTTTGACCTACATATTGTTTAGTATGAATGGTGTTCATAAATTCATTCCTCAGATAAAAAGAATAATTGGAGTAAGGGGATCCCGTGAATTTTACCATAAAAGTGTATGGGGAAGGGAGCCTTCTTTATTATATCTACAAAACCTTTATGAAAGTAATCTATTCATGCACTGAGGGTATACTCAATGAAAACATGAAAAAGGAATAAGCAGGATTTTTTAACATTCATTTAAAAATTTTAAGTTTCAAATTCTCTCTCTCCCTTCAGCCCCTCCCCCACCCATTGAGAAGGCAAGCAATATGGTACCCATTATACATATGAAGTTATACAAAATATATTTCCATATTAGCCATGTTGCAAAAACAAATAAGCAAGAAAAATAAAGCAAAAAATTTGCACTCAGAGT